AAAAATTGTCCGATTTACATTCGGTTTGGACAGGGTGGCTTGTTTTTTTGCGTAGAATTGATTTCTGAAATAAAAAAGTAGGGGTGCCATTTGAAAAGTTCGACTTACGCGTGGGGCACCCCCCGCCCCGCGCCCCTCCCGCGGTTTGGGAAAATGTCGAATACGCCAAAAGGTGTCCCCCTCGATATAAACGAACACGTCTTTTACCGTTTTTCGAAATTCCGACGCGTTCGGCAGATATTCAAGGTGGCTCGTTTTTCGTGAGACACCCTGTATATTCTTATGGGTCTCGGGGCTCGTGTCTCAATGCACATAGTTTCGTTTGGCAGAAATACGTCCATTTTATATACTATTCGCGCGATATTAATTTCGATGCGGAATGAATTCTAGGAGTGGCTGGTGTCTCCCGTAATTCTCTTCGGACCGACAATAGAACCAAATGCTAAGAATGCCTTTCTTCCGGTCGATCCCAGACAACTTGACTCACAAGTTCCTCTCCTCCTCGGCATAAGTTCTGGCGAGGGTGCTGCGGTCGCATCAAGTAAGTTCAACTTTCATTCCGGCGATGATGCTGTTTTCCTGAAAAGTCTTCGAAATTCAAAGCTCTTGGAGTCTTTTGAACTTCAGTTGAGTCATCGTTATCGGCGAACATTGAACAAGACGTAAAGCGTTGATAATAAAAAATCTCAAACATGTCATCCACGCAATACTGCCGTGCTAAGGAAGAACGCCGTATGAACCTTCGTGCGTTGCCAAATTTCTTTTGGTGAACTACAAATTTTCAGGAAAACTTGTGCAACTTTTTTGTCCAATTTTCCAAAGAATTTTCCTCGCAATGGGATCTAAAGTATCGGAGAGTTTTACATATAAGTATATTCATTATTTGTCCCAAAAAGTAATATTTTAAAAGGGGAAATTTGGCTACTCTCGGATGTTCATGCGGTGTTTTTCCTTAGCACAGCAGAGTAGGGCCTAATATAAGTAGACGCATTAAAAAATCAAAATTTTTAAGACAATTTTTAAGGAGACATATCGACGGTGTAAGTAGGCAGCCACATATCTCGGTTTGCGAAGTTGCAGACTTCTCATACTTGATTTTTTTAATGGAAAACTACTCGACGGTAATTCTTGAAAACTGCCGTTATTTTTCTTTTCTCTGCGAAGAAAATTATGCAAAAACTTCAAGGAATGATGCTGATAACCTCCTTCATAATAATAAGATACGAGCGGATATTTTGAAACCCCGCAAACGAGATGCGTGGTTGCGGACTTATACCGTCACGACAGTGGCGTGGCGTGAACGATCGATTATCGATATTTCCCCACTTGAATCCGTGGTAAAGAATCGATTATTAAGGTGTTCGCTGCGAACACCCTGTTAATCGATCCTTTTCCACAGGTTTAAACTGCAGATCAATCGATATATCGCAAAGCACGCCACGCCACTGCGTCACGACATGATTGTAAAGTACATGTCGTTGTTACCTCTAGCCATTTTTGGAGGGGAGAAGGGGGTATTACCAAGTACGATCGCAATTTAAAACAAATTTGGTTACTTTGATTATTAACAAAAATATATTCCTGAATTCTTGATTCTGTTCTCTATGATTATAGTTTTATTTGCTGCCGGAGCTCAATATGAAAAAGACATCAAAGAGCGACCGCTGGAAATTCTACCAAAACTGCTTTTGTTGAGCGAAATGTTTCCGCAAGATAAGATTGATACGGTTTCGAAGGAAATTTTAAAATTTTACTTTGGGAGCAAACCAATCGACAGAAACACCACGCAAGGAATCATCGACGTACGTAGAAAGAACTTTATGTCTCTCTTACACATCATTAGTGAAAGTTCATTGAGCTTGATCAACTCCGAAAAAATTTCCCTTTCACTACATTTGAATTTGAGTAACCAATCAACAACTGAATCATGAATTGTAGTGAGGGCTCAGAAAGCATCTTTGTGCTGTTCATTTTTCCTGAAAATAGCATTAAATTACACTTTAATTTACACCCCCTAAATTTTCCCTCTCAATTTCTAACGTTTTGCGCTCGATAAAATGCCACGCAAGAAAGTTTTGAAAACGTTTACATGCGTGTTGAAAGCTTAAGTTCACTTCTCTTTCTTGCCATTTAGATGGTCACTGATGACTGGTTTTTCGCGGGAAGTGTAGAGGCTGTGTCGAAATATGGTGGAAACGTTTACTTCTATTACTATGACTATAGTCAGTCGGTTTCATTCACAAGTATTTTTGGAACTGGTCAAGTTAAAGGTGAGTTCTGATTTCACATTTTCAACATAATCTTAAGCAATTTCATGGTTTTAACCACCTACCTACGTTAGTGAAAAATAACAATCACAATAGATGTATCCGTGTGGGCATGCCCCTCCAAGCATATTGTGTCAATTGCCGAAGTCAGAACAAGTGTATTTCTTTTGCAACATTCCATAATTTAAGATTATGTATTCATTTTTAAAAAGAAAATTGACCAAAATATCTGCCTAAAATTTCCTGAGAATATTGTTAGAGTGCCGGGGAACTTCTCAGAAACTATCAAGAAAAATTGTGGGCTGGTTTTATTTTTTTCTTTTTTTAAGAAAAAAAAAATAGAAAATGAACAACGCTACTTACTACACGCTACTAATTGGACGTGCGTTTTTTTTTTGTTTTTGTTTTTTAATTTCCGCAATCGATATTAGATCCATAGAATGTGTCCATTTAAGGTCAAAAATTGTTCTGATTTTGATGGAATATTTCCAAAATTGGGATGGGAACCCCGATTTTCATGATAATGAGGATGGTAAAATTTGAGCTCCTAAGGGTTAATTCCCTATTCGTTCCCGCGGTCTCCGGTTTCGTCCGGTAAGTCTGGCAGGGATAGTCTGGTCTGGGACACCCTGTACATACCAGGTACCTTGTATAATGAATACTTACGTGTGGCGTGTAGAATCGTTGGAGAAAATCGTAGGTTTGTGCCGATTTTCCCAATATGCACTCTAAACGTTTAAGAGTTTCATAATTTCCAATGTGCCCATAACTTACAAAAAATATATTTTTGTCACAGCTGTATGCCACACCGACATTCTGCTAAATCTATTCCCGCTGCCTGTGTTCTTCCCGAATCGAACTCTAGCAAAGACAGACGTCACGGTCTCAGAGAAAATCATCGATATTTGGACTGGCTTTGCCAAAAAAGGGTAAGCGGTACTCGACTTTATGAACTTTAGCTTTAAGTTACTTTTCTCTTTCCCCCTTACTTCCTCTCCCTAACTTTTTTTTCGCCTCCTCTCCTTCACTCTATCGCTCACTTCCTTCCGTTCTGCTTGTCTCATGTGATTTATCGAATCAATTTTGACATCCCGCAAGGGGTAATTAGACCGAAAACTTCTAACTCCAGAAATGTGGTTTCTGAATTAGTATTTACTGTATCCAAACACTGTAAAGCTTTATAGGTGTAAAAACTACAAAGACCTCACTCTTTTCGGGAGATGAATAACCCTGCATATCTTGATTTTTGTGATATTAAGAGATTGCAGATATCGTTAGTCTCTCTTTTTATTGCTTTTTGTCAAACAATTGAGTGGCTTGGAGGACAAGACGTATAAGTGCAGTTTTTGCTATTTCGAGAAATATGTGTTTGAAGTTTCCAAATAACACGGATCCTTACGGCGGAAAGAAAGTTTAAACTGACTTTTTCATGCTTGAAAACTGAAATTTAGGAGCGAATTTTTTCAAGCACTAGTTTTACTTAAAATAATTAATATCAATTTTTTTTCAAAAGCTGCACTTATGCGCCTTGTCCACCAAGTCTCTTAATTCATCTCTACATTATCTTAGAAAAAAAAAGTATCGTAACTCTGCGTATCCGACTATCTTACGAGCAGGTTCCTGTGCATGTTTTTTTTAAAAGTAAAACCTTTATTTATATCGAGATTGATCGAATGAAAATGGTTGTTTTGATTTTCTTTTTAGAAGTCCAAGCGAAAATTTGAGGTGGAGCCCAACTGCAAAAACCGCAAGTATAACTAAATTCCTACATATTACAGCGGGAGGGCTTCAGGTCCAAGAAAATCTTCTTCAAAAACGAGTGGACTTCTGGGTGTCCTTGAGAGCGTCGAATCCAAAGACGAACTAAGAAGAGCTCGACGACCAGTGAGTGAAGAACGAGTTGGTACCTCCACAAACGGAACGGACATCCCAAGTAGCGGTGATCGCGATAAATAGCGATTCTATTGGTTGATTATCGCGATTATGTCGGTGGCAATTTAGAGTACCTGTATAGCGAGAGTATAGACAGATGTGAAACTCCGAAAATCCATCAGGCCTTCACCGATGTCTCCGCGAATAAAGTTAGGGCCCAGAAATGCAGCCAACCTATGAATCTCAATTATCCAGAGCGCTTTACTAATACAATTGTTACGAACCATCGTTTATAAAGCACGTATTTGACTTACTTGTTGCATAAATTAACTCATTTTTGCGGAAGAACGCTCATTTATGTACATTCTTAGCCATCTTGGTTAGAATTGGAATGTGCAGACTGGCAGTGAAATTTTGTGCGTTAGAAGTTGGTTAAAAGGGTGGCTGCACTTTTGGGCCCTAAGCCCTCCATGAAGAGATCTGTCCATACTCTCGCTATATAGGTACTCTATGGCAATTTATCGCAATATTATCGAATGGAAAATTGCGATTTATGGCGATTAAATCGCTATGCATCGCAATTTTTCGTTCAATAAAATCGCGATCAATTTTCATCGATAAAATCGAGATTAAATCGTCATATATCGCGATTTTTGTTGCGATAATATCGCGATAAATTGCCGGGCGATGAAATCGCGATTTTATTGCAACAAGAACGAGGATAATCGCTTAGGTGTTGATGATCTTAGCGATTTTATCGCCGACAAAATCGCAAAAAATCGCGATTTTTCTTGGGATTACGCATATTTTATGAAAGGCCTTTACACAAGTGTTTATTTCTTTCTCTTGAGAAAATAAATAAATAAATAAAAATAAAAATATGGAATATCAAACTTTGATCATTGTGCTTTCAATCGTCTTAGCGACCGATGACCACCACTGACATTACAAGAAGCGGTAGCGACCCCTTCAAGCCTGTGGTTATGCTCCTCTAAGAGGAAAGTCGCGACTGTATCTTACACGCAGCCGTTTTGGAATGGCTTTTTATTATGATATCACCACAAAAACTTAATGAAACTATAAAATCTTTGCACTCCGGATCGAAGAATATAGAATTATGTCGAAGGCAATAGTCAAATCAGGCATTTTGTTAAATGCCTAGTAGTCCAGGCAATAAAGGAGTTTACCTTGCAAAATTTAGGTGAAATCAGGTTATGATCGATTCCTATGTAATTTTTTACGCTGAATCCGAATTTTTGGTTTCCCAACAAATTTTCCTTGTGCTAACTCCGGAAAATCGGAAAAACCGCGAAAAATCACGTTTTTCCGCGGTTTTCCCGAGATATCTCTTTTCCAGTGCGATATATCGAGAAAACAATTATTTCCAAAAATAAAGCTGATAAAATTTCCTATAAAAATGATCGAAACGTTTTTTTCATACGTCCATTAGGGAGAGTGCTGGAGCCGTGGAAAGCTCTAAAAACTCGTAAAATCGCGATTTTCCACGGTTTTTTGCCATTTGTGTGCAATAAATTTGTTCTTTCGCAAAATTTCAGGATAGTCTTACCTTAAAAATTAATGCTGCTTACCTTTAAGACAAAAATGATGCCAATTTTTTCTTTTTAGGTCCATTGGGAGCGGTTTTATAGCCGTGAAAAGCCGTGAAAAGCTCGAAAATCGCGATTTTCCGGCATATTTTCGTAACAAATCCGTTCTTGTACAAAAAACTCATTTAAAGTGACTTCAAAATTCAATCTTATAAAATTGTCAACATACATACGTAGAATTTGCTCCCATGGAGCGCCCTCGTGCTCTGCGACATCCAAACGCCAGGTGTGCTTATCCACGTAAAGGTTAGTAGACAACAAACGACGTAATAAAATAGTGCAATTTTCAACATACTTAAATGATGTTGAAATTTCCTTGTATGTCTAAAGAAACAACGGATATGGATGGATGGAATGATGTTGTAATAGTGCAATCCTGCATTATTTACGCTTTCGACAAATCCATATCGTAAATAATGCAAAAAGTTGAAATTTAAAGAAAGTACTACTACAATCTCTGAAATGATTTTTCTAGATTTGTGGCATATTTTCGTTACACATCCGTTCTTGTGCCAAAAACTCAGCTAATGGAGACTTCAAGATTTAATCTTATAAAATTGTCAACACATAATATGAGGTGAAAAGCTTTTAGCATGGGTCAAAAAGTGCCGCATAGAGAATTATGGGTAGCTCAAAAAATGCGAAAAATTGTGATTTTCCACTTTTAAGCCACAAATTAATCATCTTGTGTAAAAATATGGGGCTAAAAATATACCTCAAAAATTTAAAATTCAATGTGTAGATGTTTTCGGTGGATTAAATTGCACAATTATGTGTCGAAATTATAATGGTACAGGTGAGAATGCACTCGATGAGGACTTATCCGAGGAACTTATCGTAGATGATCCTGATGATTATTGGAATTTATTCCTGAATCGTTCACAGAAAGAACAGCGGACGACCGAAGAGATGAAAGAAGTTCGGAGACGTTTGCAGGTATTAATTTCACTCAATTTTTACTATAATTTGAATTGATAGAAATGGCCAGTGATGCTTAAAAAAATGTACTCATTGACTTCATATACCGCAGAAATTCAAATCAAGGTTTCTTCCACTTCGGTTTTATCAGTGATGTAAATGAAGCGACTATAGGTGATTGAGAAAACGAGAATGAGAGTAATCACGGCACGCACCCGTGAACTACTCATAATTTTGGGAGGCTTGTACTATAGATGTAGAATTTTAGCCTTACGGCAGATCACATTAATATCCTTGATTTCAGCAATCATGACATTACTCTATTAATTGCACAAGTGTCACGTTATTTCCAAATAATTGTAGCGTCATTTTAAACCAACAATCAATGGATAAATACTCATTGACATCAAAAATAAGATCCTGAAATGCCAAGGAAGCGAAAAATCGCGATTGTATCTGCGAACCGTATAAATGCAGGTTGCTTTTATCATTGTTCTCCTCTCAGATCAATACCAAAAGATTTTCCTAGACATACGTTTCTCTTACTCTAGTAAAGAATGTTGCAAAAGCTCAAACGAGCAATTCAAATTCAGATAAATCCATATCAGAAGTTTCTGTTCTCCGATTTAGACGATGTCATGCTGAAGTCGTAAAATACTGCAAAGACGGCAATGATGACAACGCAGGTGAGAATTTTCCCATCAATTTTACAATAGAGTTTCCATGAGTTGATTAGGCAGAGAAAATTTACATTATAGTAGGCACAAATTAACATTCTCAAATAGCAGAAAAGAAAGAAAAGAACACCGATAACACCTATAACAATTCAACAATTACGTTCCTCTTGCCATTTTAAACCATGACCCAATTTTATAACTTAGTAACTCTTTCACCGATAGAAAATATGTTAGGTTATGCCATCATACCCGTGCTTTTCATTATGATTTCAGATTCTCAGGACATTCAGTCAGTAGAGTGCCTGACCATGCATCTGAATTATACTTTCTTGACATTGAACATATTTATTATCATAGTTCTTTTCTAATTATTACGATACTATTATAGTTGTTTTCGCATAATTGAAAAATGGTATCAATACATTCTTTAAATTTCAAACTTTTCAACTTTTTGCATTATTTACACTTTTGACAAATCCATATCCGTTGTTTCCTCAGATATACAAGGAAATTTCAACATCATTTAAGTATGTTGAAAATTGCACTATTTTATTACGTCGTTCGTTGTCTACTAACCTTTACGTGGATAAGCACACCTGGCGTTTGGATGTCGCAGAGCACGAGGGCGCTCCATGGGAGCAAATTCTACGTATGTATGTTGACAATTTTATAAGATTGAATTTTGAAGTCACTTTAAATGAGTTTTTTGTACAAGAACGGATTTGTTACGAAAATATGCCGGAAAATCGCGATTTTCGAGCTTTTCACGGCTTTTCACGGCTATAAAACCGCTCCCAATGGACCTAAAAAGAAAAAATTGGCATCATTTTTGTCTTAAAGGTAAGCAGCATTAATTTTTAAGGTAAGACTATCCTGAAATTTTGCGAAAGAACAAATTTATTGCACACAAATGGCAAAAAACCGTGGAAAATCGCGATTTTACGAGTTTTTAGAGCTTTCCACGGCTCCAGCACTCTCCCTAATGGACGTATGAAAAAAACGTTTCGATCATTTTTATAGGAAATTTTATCAGCTTTATTTTTGGAAATAATTGTTTTCTCGATATATCGCACTGGAAAAGAGATATCTCGGGAAAACCGCGGAAAAACGTGATTTTTCGCGGTTTTTCCGATTTTCCGGAGTTAGCACAAGGAAAATTTGTTGGGAAACCAAAAATTCGGATTCAGCGTAAAAAATTACATAGGAATCGATCATAACCTGATTTCACCTAAATTTTGCAAGGTAAACCCCTATTCTATCTTCTATTGCCTGGGCTATAGGCAAATGGTTAAATATTTTTACTTAGACTGAAATTCTGATTAATTTGCTGACTGTAGACAAAATAATCCTCTGATCATGTGGAAATTAATTCTCTTTAAAAACTTGTTCCATACGATTATAAATACGTTTTTTCTAGTCCTTGAATGCAAATTTATCTCCAAACATCCAGCATTTTGCGAAATAAAAAGTTTTCACAATTTGGGCGGTTGGAGAATTATGAGGAGCATTTCTGAACGAGAAATAAAATGGCAGTTTGTACTTTGACGGATTCTTAGTCTCAAAATATTGAAAATCAGAGAGGTATTTGTGAATACATAAAAAACCTCGTAAACATTGAAAATTTGAGTATCTGCCTAGGCATTTGATGAAATGCCTGATTTGACTATTTGCCTCCGACATATACAGGAAAAATTTGGAGATGATTTAGACATGACGCCGCCGCTCGAAGGACGCGGAAAGGTAGCGAGAAAAATGCCCTCTGCCGGACGCCCACGCTTTGTACACGGCATTCTCCATGACTGAAAACATCTAAATCGCGGGACAGCGCCGCACGCGATAATGGGCGAAGTCGGACATGAAATAAGCAACTGAAATTGGCGAATTTTTTTGTCCGATTCGTCCTAGAGACCAGTGATGAGGCGCAATGAGGGATATTTAATGATGGGAAAGTTAACAGAAATCAGGAAAATCTCCACGAACCTTCGAG